GGCGGGTGTTACAATAGGCCTCGGTGCGAAGTGCTGCGAGGCGCTGGGGGAGCCGGGGGACACGGGGCGTCGTTTCGGCAACCCCACGGGCGATTGCCTGCGTGCGGAATTCGGATAAAATGGGCTTTGTTTAAATGTGCCGAAAGCGTGAAAACTTGTATTATTCTTTTTTAGTGCTCTTAAGGATAATGACTGCTTTCTGAGGGTGGAGCGAGAAGGCCAAATGCTTTTGGTAGTTGATACCACACAATGAAGCGTTAGGTTTTAATTTTTCTTCAAACGTGTCTGCGCAGACAACAATAACAAAAAGTTGAGAAAAATGCCAGCTGCCCTGAGTGGATCGTGCTTACAACTAACAGTTTGGTTTTTAATCTCCTTGGCAGTCATTGTGCAAAGATTTTTTTTTTTTTTTTTTGGCATTGTTCTTTTTCGTGTATTTCATAACCTCAGACTCTAATTCCTTGAGAGAAAATTAATATGCTCGGGACGCTTTATATTCTTCTGGCTTACTGTTTGAAGCAAGATGGCTTAACACCAAAATGTGTAGCATGTTTTATATGTGATGTGATAAAGAGGTTATATCAGCTGATTCTGGGATGCTTTTTTCTGAGTAACGTAGCCATGTATGAGCCTTGTATATAGGTCATTGCAAATGAGAATCGGTAAAACTTATTATATCACCTAATTGTTTGTCACTTATATGCTACATGTTAACAAAATACTTTAAGATTTATTTTAGTTTCTCTTTTACTGAAGTCTTTGCTGCATCTCAACTGAGAGATTGGGCCTTTTTAGTTACCATGAGTTGATGGTATAGCTCTTCAGGTATGTGGGGTATGAATGCATTTGAAATGTAATTACTACCCTGTGTTACCATTTTTACATATAAAACATAGTATTTTGTTATATTTAGTCATGTCTAGGTTTAAAACCAAATGTTAACAACAGTCATAGTTTTGTTGAGAAGCTGAGAGAATTATTGTCTACCTTTCTCTGGTCTACAACTCAATTTGTGTCAATGCAAATATAAATATGTTAGGTAGGTGGGAGAAGGAAACTGGAATAAAAAGGGAAATGATAATTCAGTGGTGTTGTAGTTTGGGTTATATGTGTAGAAATGACACTAAATCACCTGACAGTTTTCTGAAGTGTTCAGAGTTTAGAAAATTTGGAATTTGTCCCAGCAGAATGGTTAGTAGGCAAATGCATGTGAGAAACTGCTTGATAATGCAGATTCTGCAGTTTATTATGTGGATATTGCACGTAGGAAGGTCCATGTTATTTGAATAATATTTTTTCTGCTTTAATAGCAAATGGTACTTTTTTTTCTATAGTATGACTCTATAGTACGTAATATTTTTATTCTGTGTTAGGGATATTGGCAGAATGCTGAGGCAATTATATCTGGAATCATAATTGAGCTAATAGTGCAAGAAGCAGTTGGCTGAAAAAGTTGGACTAGCCTGTCTTTTGATGAGAAGATACCTCTTATTATGGCAGTATATATTAAAACTTATGTAGGATTGTAGTGCACATTGAAAGCTTTATGTACATGTTTTCTTCAAGATTGGCTCTCTCAAGTGTTTCTTTGCAGTGTTCTCATTGGGCCAGATATTGCAGATGTTTGGGGCAAGTGTGTTAACTGGACATCAGCTTGTTGAATACTAGAACTAGATCTGACTTTCGACAGCACTTTCTAGTTCACTTTTAGATATTTTTCCCCCTTTGATTTAATGATATGTGAGTGTGCACTGAATAATCAGCATATATAGAATTTTCTAAAAGCATTCCCCTTGATAACTTCATCTTTTTTTTCCTTTGTACAGTGGTTTCTAAAACCCCAAAATGCTTAGACCAAGTTTTTATACACAGAGGCAAGTAATCCAGTAGATGGTTTGAATTCCTGCTTGTATGTCTTCATGCTGCTTTTTGAATGTGGAATTACATAAAAATTCACTGTCCGTTGCAATAAAAAGAAACCTAAATTCTCTTGAATGTTAAATTCTTTCTGTGTTGGGAATCTCCTGTGAAACAAGCATTAATACATTGTATTTTCTTTAAAAAAAGTTTCTAATAGAAACTCTACAAAGAAGAAAACATAAAACTGTAGAGTGGGCATGCTTTATAAATGCTTCTAATTGTGTATATTATATGTGTAGGTATGGGAGAGAGTTATCAATATTCTCTCTCTTCAATAAATTTAGTTGAAAGTGCGTACCTTGCTTAATGTGGATTTTCCTCACCCCTAAAATAGCTGTTGTCTTGATTATTCCACACAATGCAACCATTCCAGTGTTGTCACAAAGCCAGTGCCCAGGCTCCTGTCTCAGAAATGGGACAAGAAGTCTTTCGTTTAAAAGCTTGTTTTCTCCTCCTGTAACAACAAATACCAGTTATGTAGTGCTTCTAATAAAGAAATTGGATGCACTTCACAGTTCATATAGTGGAAAAGAGTTTTAAATGACATCAGAACATGTAAACGTATTCAGTTCTAGCTGCTTGGGTGTAATTTCAAACAAGTTGTATAAAATTTATTTTATAATAACAGCTTGCATACTGAAACTTTATAGCAAGATTTACTTTGAATCCCACTCAGAATACCTGCTGTGGCTTTTAGAATAGTAGGCAAGAGCTTTTCAAGCTGGTATGTGAAATGTTTAGCTTACAAATAAAGACCAGATGTCATCTCTAGCAATATCTTTAAAGATTATATTTCATTATTGGCTAACAGATTTTTTTTTTTCCTAAACATGGCTGTTTAAGAACAGTTGTAGACATGTAGAAGAAATGGCTGAAGAGGTTATGACGACCATCTTAGGAGTTGAGAAAGAAATGTAAAACTCTGAAATGTAGCGAAGGTATCTTTGTAATAATCGACATCTGACTTTTTTGCTAGCTGTTCTATATATGCATCTATTTCCACTAAACTTTAGAGTGGTGATATGATCCTCTGTCCTCTACTGGCTGTGCTAAATATCACATCTGCAGCCTAACAGGCATATTTTTACAACGTGTATTTGTGTACGTTGGACTAAGTAATCTGTACATTTTGTAATTTTGATTATTTTCAATGTTAACTTTTCATACAATTCTAAAGTAGTTTACCTCTTGCTTCATCAGTGCTATTGAGGTATTGGCAAAATTCTCAGTTACAGGTAATAGGTCTGGTTGTCTTTCCATTATAAAGCTCTCAGCGTGTAAATCCTGATGGAAATAAGGGTTGTGTCAGACCTATGTTCATAACTTTGCTCTTAGATTTCATCCATGTTATTTTGAGGAGGAATTTTGAGTGATGTATTGAACTAGTTGTATACATTTTTTCTTTGTGTTTCGCGTAGAATTTGTTCACAAATCTCTTCAAAGGGGAAATTAATTTTTACAAGCTGGGTTGGTGTATGTAGTTCTGTAAGTCTTTACATGTGCATATTGATTAAATACGAAGCTAGACTCGCTGGAGATGACTTTGTGTAGTTGAGCTAAAAATAATGAGTCTGTTTTGACTCATATTTTTCAAGTATTTTGCTGTTTATCTTCATTACAATATATATTGCTTAAACTTTAGTTCTGGGCATACTACAATGATGAGTTAGTCATGTAGTCTGAACTGATGTTAGTAGGGTATTTTGACAATAAGCAAATATCTACCGTAGGAGTAATAATAAGACAAAATAGCTTTAGATCTTACGTGTTACTCCCAAAACAAAGATCATTCAAGATTATAAAAAAAATCCTTCTACCATATATCTATCTATATATTGTGTATCTCCCTAAAGACTGGACATTCAGTAGTTGATAAGGCTAGATTAAAAATGTAGAATTGTGTAGAGGGATTAGAGGACTGTGGTTTCTTCTGTCTACATCTTCAGACCTAAGTGTTCTATTCTGATTGAATATCTTTCCATACATGTCAGTTTTTATTGTTTGGACTTAACATTCTTGTTTAGCATGAAAAGTGAGACATTTCTTGCGCTTGAAAATTAAATTCCGCCCCTCCCTTTCCCCCCCGGCCCCCCCCTCCCCCAGTACTTAGTTAAGATTGTAGGGGATATTTTGGGGTTTATATATGTAGTCCTCTCGCCTTGAGAAGTCCATTTACATACTAAAAGATTGATACTACACCAGTTATGGTAGATTAAGAATATGTGTGGAGATCATTAAGTGTATGTGTTCAGGGGCAGGTATTTTTTCCTGCAGAGGATTTTCTCAATATCAAAGAGAGATTTTTGCTGTTGTCATTATACTTGTTTCAAGCCAAGACTTAAATGCTTCAAAAATGAGTTGGCAAACTTCATTTTAATCTGAGCCTGAAATCTTTATTTTGTGAAAACCCCAAAATGTACTACATGTGGGTTAGAGAAGTTTAATGTCAGTTACTGTGTTAGAATCTTACATAGCTTAACAAATTGAAAAGAAAAACAGAGGCTGGCATGTAAGAATGAGATGTAGTTCAGATAAAGGAGTTAGTTTTCTGTGCTACTTCATTGCATAGTCTACAAACGTATAAAATCAGACTTAGCAGTATGACAGTATTAGTGGGTTTACACATCATGCTGAGTAATAATGTAAAAGAAACTGCTGTCATTATGATTGAAAATCATATTTTGATTGTTTTTAGCAGGGAAATATGTGGGCAAGCATTTATAATGTGTGGAACTCTACCATATTAATATATTGTCCTGTAAAAAAATCTGTGCTACTTTATTTTTTTATCTTAGACTCCTAGTTTGGTAATGGTATTTAAAATTTAAAGTTTAGATCAATAAACATTTTGACAAAGAATATTGTTCCTATATAGCTTGGAGGTTTTTTTTAAAATCCTAATTAGAAGAACTGCGTATTTAAAGGTACGTGGGAAAGCCTTTTATATTATCAAGACGTCTTTTTAGGTTTCTACATGGAATGAGCATTCCATGTGTTCTCCTAGGCATGAATGAAGTGGCCTGACAGGAGATCGGAGAAATGATGCATGCGAACATTGGTCAGGAAGCCAGTGGGGTTGGAGTAGGGGTTGACCCAGCTGGAACAGTAGTTGGAGCAACATCAGGGCCCAGTTCAGGTGGAAACACTCCTCATACCATCCCTGCAACTGCAGCATCGGGTGCTTCCAGTGTCCAGGTACCCCTCAGTGGATGTTCCTGGGATGATGCCACAGTTGGGTATTTCTTCCAGAGGCAGGCTGGTGAGCAGTTGAGTGGCTACTCCAGCAAACACCTCTGGCCCGCAGGAGATAACATTCCTATAGATCATTTGGTAGGTAGTTTATTCGGTTTTCCTGTGTTTTGTGTTGAATCCACATCTTTAAGAAATATATGTGTGAGTTAAGCTAGTTTTTCAAAGCCTGTAGTAACCCAAACTCTAAAACTTCCAGTTAATTTTGTTAAAGCAGTTCTAAATGAAACTGCATAAAATAATTTTGAAATGTTCAGTTTGAACCATTCATTTAACTTACGTAAGCATTTCATATTTCTGTGAGTACCTGTTTTTTATCAGAATACCATCATTAGGTTTTAATTTATGCAAAACAATTGGTTTGGTTTGAAAAGGGACTAGTTTCTGACAGGCTTTATGAGAAGTAATACGGATTTAGCACACAATCTTACTTGTTACGCTTGCAGGTAAAAAAATTTTGTTCAGGTAAAATAGAAGTAATAAGTCTAGATCAAAACTTAACTTTCTCCTTTTGCAGATAGTAACCTAGAAGAAAAAAATCCAGTTTTAAGCTTTTACCCATAAATGTTTAATTGATACAGCTTCCTAATTTTTCTTTAAAAACCTCATTCTGAATTTCAGATAGGAATGGCTTTTTTCCCCAGGACTCTTGAAATGTGCCACACTTAAGTCCATGAGGAACGTTTTGCACCTCCCAAGCCTAAGGACTTATGGAATGTGTTCAAAAAATGTAGTAAATATAGGAGCAGATGTGATACCCATAAATGTTTAATTGATACAGCTTCCTAATTTTTCTTTAAAAACCTCATTCTGAATTTCAGATAGGAATGGCTTTTTTCCCCAGGACTCTTGAAATGTGCCACACTTAAGTCCATGAGGAACGTTTTGCACCTCCCAAGCCTAAGGACTTATGGAATGTGTTCAAAAAATGTAGTAAATATAGGAGCAGATGTGAATAAAC